TTAAAAATCTGATACTGCTTATATAACATATTTATATAAAAAGGGAAAGAGTGAAGTAAAAATGTAAATTTTCTTGGTGTTTACTATTAATTATTCACAAAAAATTCTATTAATCTACACGTCTTTGCAAGTGTCTGCCTATTTCACCATACCCACTAATCTCATTACTCTTTTTCTTGTTAATTTACAAATGTTGTAATAATTTTATTGTAAATTCCAGTAGAAAAGAAGGAAAGCAATTCTACATAATCATTTACTTTTTACTTCAACTTAGTGGAAACTACTTGCTTTCTTCAAAAACCAAATTCAATTCAGTAAATGTCCCAAGATCAGCCTTGCCAATTCTGAGAACCTTCGTGTAGACAGAGCTGTTACCACCTCTCTCTCCTGGTACTTTTGAGACATCCTGTCTTCCAAACAAACCTTAAGGACAAACTCACATGGTGCTTCTATTTCTCACAATTTCTAGTGTTCTTTGAGGCATAGAGTAAGTGCACAGGGAACACTTGTTAAACAAGACTTTAAAAGAAATTGAACTAATTTAAGCAATAAATCCTATGGAAGATTTTTTTCCCCCAGAATTTTAGATTGTACCATTCTAATTATTTTTGATGTATCCAATCTATTGTTGTCACTCTGCCCCTGAATTTTTCTTGGTCTTGGGATGATGCAATTAGTTTTTTTTTTCCTCTTTTTTTTTTTTTTTTTTGCCTCAGAAAAACGAATTAAGAATCAGAAAAAAAAAAATCTATTGAGGATGCTTTTCTTTTTTTTTCCTCCGAATAGTCCATGAAGAGCTTTTCTCAGCCAGTGTGTAGGTCTTTTGTAATGAGACAGGATCAGGAATGAAATGAATGCCTTTTTTAGAATAATTAGCCAAGGTTATTATCATGAAAGGAAGAGTCAAAGTCATGTTAATGTCAGATTAGACTCTATGACACTAAGAATAAAAAATTATATTAATTCTGTTGAAGTAAGAAGTATTTAGCTAACTCAAGATAAATTGTCCACAGCCAATGTTAATATGGATATAAATACACTAAAATTAAAAAAATGAAAACCTAGCCCACCATTTCCTTCAATACATTGACTTCTAATCACCAAACAAAGGGCACCAGGGACCATACTGATCCTCAGTGGAGCCCAAGATGGATGGGCAGGGGAGAGGCCTGCTGATGTGTGGCTGCCAGCTGAGTCAATCCAAGGTTATAAGATGCAAGAACTTAGGGCTAAACTTCATGATTCTGTGAGTGGGTTGGAGTGTCCTGAAGGAGGCAGGGAAGGTGGGAAAACGAATTATCCGGGCTGAGAGGAAGGCCATGCGAGGAGAGATTGAAGGAAAAGAAGGAAATCTTTCTGCTCTTTCCTCTGAAGGACCCAAGAGGTGAGTGTCCCCTCTCATTCAAAACGGGGAAGAGATCCTAGGTAAAGTCTCAAGTTGCCAACCCCATTCTGCTTGGGGATGATGACTTCCACACCTTGGTCACAGAACGGCTAATTCCCCACTGGAGTTGAGTTTTCAGTCCCAAAGTAACAGGTAAGAAACACTACCCCCACCGGGCCATCATGTAATTCTGATGTCCTGTCCTTCCCCATCTGATTAAGGGGGAAGGTTACAGGAAGCAGGGATTTCTCCAAGTTTGAAAAGATCAAAAGGCGGTTTCATGGATCTTTGTTTTATCCTGATCCAAAGATTAAAAGGAAACAAACAAAAATCCCCAACCAACAACAAACAGCTAAATATAGAACTGAAAGCATGGATTATCATACACAGGTTGTAATAACTGCTTGTGTTTGCACAATGTATATTTAACCTTTATTATTTTCAAGAAACTCAGAAAACAGAGGATATTCAGAACAAATTGTGACAATGTTGTTCAACTCCTATGGTCCTATCTTTTATCCTCCCTAAGAGTACACACCTAAAATTTGGCACACATAATTTCATACTGATTATAAATATAAATATTAGTGAATTTACTAAAAATTTACTAAAATTGTTTATGGTTTCATATTTAATATAAATATCATAAAATTTATATCATTGAAATAAGTCTATCTAGTCCTTTATAAGTATTGCATAGTATCCCAAAATAGAAACAGTGGAAATCTGGTTATTGGATTATACTCACTCAGTTATAGTTCTTTTCTGCTTCTGATTATATAGATATTTATCTTGGCCATTCCATTGAACTTACTCATGGCAATATAACAAGTTATGATCTATAAATTTTGAGTGGAAGTGACTTATGTTGTTTCTGGGATGAAACATTTGATTGCCAGCGACTGACTGCCTTACATTCTTTTCTTTCATTCATGCAAGCTTGAATTAATATGGATATGCCACACTATCAAAGCAAACTACACAGATATTAGAGGATAGAAAGATAGCTAACCATCATGTCCAGGGACAAAACATGTGGTAGAACTTTGACCTAGAGGGACATATACCTAGGGAGCCTGCAACTCTAGGGAAATTTAATTTAATTTGATGGTTAGCCAGATTTAGTAGACAATGTTTGATGATTCTACAATGAGTATAAATAATGAACAAAATATTGATATTACTTACTGTATATTTACTTTATAATGATACAAAGATTTCTCAGGTTTCATAAAGAACTTTGATGAACAGTAGTTTTGAATGCCCAACTAACCATGACTCCATTTCAACTACTTCTATGTAGTTCCTTCCCACATTGACTCTGTACTTGTCCATGTGACTTTCTTTGACTGATGAGCATTAGTGACCACTAAGGAAATAGATACTTGAAAAGTTCTTGAGTATGAAGATTTGTCCTTTGGATTCCTCTTGGAGTCCAGCTGTCATACTGGTAAGAGCTCCAAGTTAGATGACCAAATGAATGAAGGTTACATGAAAAGACTTGGAGAAAAAGAGGGGCCCATATAGCATGGTCTGACCTCAGCTAAGCTAGAAGTTTGATTCCAACAAGAAGAATTATACAACTGAGACCAGTTAATTCACAGAAATAGGCAAAATAATATATCATTGTTTCAAGTTCTAAGTTTTAGTGTGGTTTACTACAGATGATTAAAAGAAGAACTTCATATATCTATCACCATTTATTTTATTCCACAGATCAACATGAAGATTAAAATATCCATGCAGATTTTATTTTGACTAATTGTATTTTTATCATCATACATTTTAGATTATTATAATTCATATAAATAAAATACCTTTAGTGATTTTAATGTAAATTTTTTATTTTCAAAAATCCTTAAGAATAGATTAAGAATAAATACAAAAAGTAAAATCACATATTAATTCTCAAATGAAAGGAAATACATTTTTGTTAGACTATAGCACATACAGAGGTTGAATAAAAGTCACCTTATTGTATAGTCATAGATGCAAATAATTATGCAATTCTTTTTTCTTTATTCATCTTGTATTTTGTTATAATATTGTTCTTGTATGGGGCTATAGTAGAATTT